GTCCGCGAGACGAAAGTCACCAATGGTTAGAGACCTTGAACGATATGGTTCAGAATCGTTTGCAATAGCTCAGGTGCATCAATTCATTGTGCTCTCTCAAATTCTAATCTTCTGAATTCCTTATCATCTCCATCTTTCTCTTTCGAAAGTTATGTCACTGAATTATACTTATCGAATCATATCTTCGAACCCTTATCTCTTCAATTACTGCTAATACTTTTTCTATTGCTACCACTATGGCATTTGTACAGACAGTTGCATCTCTGTGCTGTTGCAGTTTGGCAATCTGAACTTATGTACTCATGTAGGACGTTCTACGCTGTAACTGACTGACTGACTGATATGATACATCAAAGAAGCTGGCTGGGAATTATCGTGAACCAGAACGACCAGTGAAAAGCAAGGAAGGAAAAGTAATCACCAACAGTGAAGAACAGCGAAACAGGTGGATAGAGCACTTTGAAGAACTCTTGAATCGACCAGCGCTGCTGAACCCATTCAACATCGAAACAGAGTTCACGGAGCTACCACCAACAATTGAAAAGATCAGTATGACCATTAGACAAATCAAGAGCGGCAAAGCAACGGGACTAGACAACATTCCAGCAGAGGCACTGAAAGCAGACGTAGCAGTAACTGCAAACATACTCCACATGCTTTTCAACGAGATTTACGATGACGAACAAGTACCAACAGACTGGAAGGAAGGACACCTGATCAAGATACCAAAGGAGACCTCAGCAAGTATGAGAACTACGGAAGCATCACTCCACTACCAGTACTAGCAAAAGCCTTCAACAGTGTTGTTAAACAGAATGAAGGACTCCGTAGATCCCTAACTTCGAGATCAACAGGATTGATCATGTAACTACCAGATCGCCACACTACGGATCACTGTGGAACAATCAATTAAACGGAACTGACCACTAGACATCAGACACCTTGATGACAAAAAAGAATTTGATAATGTGGACAGGATGAGAAGGTAGTCAACATCATATGGAATTCTTATGATGGATTAAACTGCAAGATCGTGTGCATGGAGGGCAGATCGCAGATTCATATCAAGTGAAGACCTTTTTTCTTTCACCTTGTGGTCGACTGGATGATTATGAACACGTGTTGTTTATTACTATCGAAAATAAAAGCATGCAGTTCTTAGGACGAAAAAAATAGAGTCTGGTACAGATGTGCGTTGGTTTAGTATGAGATGAAAATAACAATAGAAATACATATAATATAGTAGCAATAATAAACGTTAGACGACAATGGTCGAATGTATTTGTGCTATTGTAAATGATTCTGAGCCGTGCCACCAACCCATCAAAACAAATACAGAACAAAGAATAGTAAAAGTCAGTTTTTGTTTCAAAGAAACAAAAGTCATTTTTATTGCTTTTTCTTTCTATCGTGTTTGTGCTTTTTCTGATGTCTTGTATTATTAGTATTACTATTATTGTTATTATTATCATCAACAGTAGAATTCGTTAAGAATTTGTGTTCAGTTAAAAGAAGGCGAGCAACATTGTTGATATGCTTGAATCGATCCGGTCCAAGTTGGATACCACCAAACCAACGACTTACCTAGAGGAGAAGAGAACAAGCAGACACACAAATTATAACCCCATTCGAATGACAAAAGTAAACATTAGTTTAAATATGAAAAGATGATTTTTTGTGAATATATCATGCAGAGAGAAAAGTAAATTAAAAACCGCATAAACATCATATGTACAATACTAGTATGGAACTTTAGGAAAAACTGCAATTTATTTTTCAAGATATTCAAGACTGCTGTTGAAGATTAGTTCATTTGTTTTCTGATATTTTATGTTGTCTCGTTTTCAATATCAATAGTTCAGACTGCATATATAACACGGGTGAGCCCAACAATAATATAACCATTTGTGGACATAATAAAAGCTTCTTTGAAAAAAAGAAACTTGATATGACTCTTCTTATTGTCAACACAAGAGTCAACTGCAACTGAATTTAATAGTAGGGGAACTTGTTTAAAATTCACTTTATAAATACAAGACATATTATATATAATATAATTTACATAAGGTAGGACATAGCTTTCCAATGCTTACAAGTTTTGTTTGTTAACATCTCAATACAGTATTAAAGAAGCGTTGCTGTCTCTCTAAACGCAAAAACTGTTTCCTCCGGAATGGTATACATCATCGTCTAGATTGATTAAAAGGAGTGTAGAAGTTGAGTGAACGAACAGACTCATTTATTAAGGAAGTCTTGTTAAGCGTGCTGGGTTGGTGTCTAGAGAAATATCGGTAGAGATCCAGAAAGCTTGACTGATGTTTGCCAACCAGCATCACTTGTGGCCTTGGTGAGATGTCCGTCTACTACGGCGCGACTAAAAGAGTCATTCGTCGGTTCCTAATATTTGAGCATAGGCATCTTTGAAGCATCGGTCCCATTTAGTGATTTAATTAATATAGACCGAAATGATATCGATAGATTCAAACTATCTGGTTGGTGTCCGCGCGATTATTATGACCAATGGTATGATATATTGAATGACATAACTTAGGATAGATCACAGAAGCTGAAATGCATTAGCTCCTTATCATCCTCTAAATTTTGAGTTGAAGCATTTTTCGCAAATACCACCCTTCTTTTGGTCTTCTTAAACAATATTCCCAGCGTTTAATCTTTATCACTATCAATTCAATTACGATTATTTCGAATCCCATGTTATTCGTTTCATGCTAAACTGGTGCAACTTACTAATCACTTGTGCCAAAGTCTAGTGATTATGACTGAAATAATAAGAAATAAATAGTCTCTTGGAACTACATCGACTTAATAGTCTAACGAGAATCCAATCAACTAGAAAGAAGTAGAGGATTTTCAAGTGTCCTAGTGAATAAATCCTGGATAGTTCTAAACACAAAGCAATTAAAATCTACTATTAAATAATTTTGGCCAACACTAGTTATCCGAGATTAGAGCACCGTTTTTTTTCATAAAATGTTGAAATAAAAGGATAAAGAATGTAATACCTTGAAGCGTTATGAGAGGCATTAATTTATGACCCATAGAACTGAACCAAACTAATCAAACTGGTCAACGCCTATCACAAGCTTCAATCATTTGACGTTCAACAGTACAGCTGAGAAAACTATATCTAGAAGCGCCCCCAGCTACAGATGAGGAGTTTTCTCTCTTCGAAATGCTCTCATATGGTCACGCGTGTATAGCCACTACCAGAGAAACCCTACTCATTGCTTGCAGGAGCGTTATTTATGAAATCAAGAGTATGAAAAGCGAATGCCCAGCACCTAAACCGAGTTTGTGGATACGAAGGATTCACGCAGGAGAGTCGAAAAACCCTCATTCTAAATCAAGTGTACATGAGCCACAGGATCCTAAGGGAAAAAACGACGTGTGAACCTACTGTTGGTCACCAGCTACCATGAGATGTTGTTCCACTACCTTGTGGAATAGAAATGTAGGTTAAGAGGTTAGGGAATGGTTCCTTCGGTTTAGGAAGCCGGTAGTATCCCAGCCAATATACACGGTCGATTGTGTAGCGCATATGTATTTTGAAGCCCTTTTGTACCTATGCTTATGTGCTTAAGTAAGTAAATAAACGATAAATAAACTATTTTGTCCACCGCTAACAATAACTAACTCAATATTGGCTGTTGACCATTGCACTACACTATTTCTCAAATGGATATCGACAAAACACAAACTTCCTTGTACAGTCAAATGAAATGTTATGCAGTATTTAATAGTACAACTTAATACCTTAAATAAATATCAGTATATAAAATACAGTTTTTTTCGGAAAACAATCACTCACCATAACTGCTACATTTTCAATTCCTGATAATGTAAGTAAATGTAACAGTCGACCACCAGCATGTGCTTCTCCATCATCATCACAGTCAGATTCTTTGGAGGAGATGCGCCATGCTAAGATATTATGAGTTGCTGTAGCAATTTTTCTATCCATAAGCAGTGTTGATATAAAAAGAGATACTTCACCACGGGTCGAAACATGTGCACAATGAGCCTACGTGGTCAAACAACATAATGAATGAGTATACCTTGCCAATGTCACACATACTGATAGGCTTTTATCAATAAACCATCTGTCCATCAGTTTAACCAACTCATAGTTCAAGTATCATAAGTTATCAAGCAAGTGATTAAAAGTTTATAACATAAATCTATAATCCGATGATAAGTTGCAGTAAAAACTCAACTCATTCAAAAACTCAAGTTATTTATATAGGATATATATATATATATATATATATATATATATATGATACTAACCGATAGTGCCATGTAAATAATCAAGTCTTATCAGTACAAGTTGCCATACCATAGCACAGAGACGAGATTGTAAAGTTATATCCGATAGTAGTAGAGGCAGTAGAAGTATTTGCGGTAATGGAGAAGATTGGAGTTCGAAGATATTATTACTCCAGAAGTAGAATCCAGTGAAATCAACTTAAAAAGAAAAAGCTAAAGAAGATGAGGAATTCAGAAGATTAGGATTTCAGCGAACACAGAGAATGGATGCACCTGATCAAACACTAGCCCTAGTTACTTAGTGGTCCCAGGATATACGAGCTAAGCTTCTAAAACACCGATGATCGAATACTAGTAACCTACGAATATCCCCGCTTCTTATTGGCTGTTTCACACCTATAGAGTAGGACAGAGTGAAATGCTGAGCAGTAGACTCGTCCTTTGGTTGGATATAGATATCGCGCCTATGCGCAAAAGCCAGTCAAGCGTTCCTTATCCGTGCTGGGATTTCGTCACACAACAGGCCATCAGCACTGATGACACTCCCAAAATAATTGTAACGGTCAAAACACCCAACTACATCAATTACTTTCACTAGTTCAGCAGCCGATGTAAACCAATCCTGAAGTAACGTTTTGCATTTCCAATCGGAGAATCACATCCATAATATACCTGCATTCTTGCTTAAGGTGGTCAGAAGAGTGCATTTTCTAGGCATCTTCATCAAACAGGACTATGTCATTGGCATATTCTAAGTAGATAAGTGAATCTCCTGGTAAAAGTTCGACTCCTGGAAAGTCAGATGATGAAAGTGTCGCATCTAAAAGCACTCCAATGATAAAGTTAAACGAGCATGGAGAAAGTGGACAGCCCTGACGAACACCAATTATTAGTTAACCATAAGCTCTAACTCAACAAGTAGTGTTCGAGTAGGGAACTTGCCTAAGGTTAACTTGCTACTTTGGTACACGTTTCAATGACAGACTACCACGAAACCTCACGATCGACAAATTTAAATGCCATTTTAAGGTACAGGAAGACAACTATTGTCGGACACCGAAATGTGTTTCTGTGTTCTGGAACCTGAAGAAGTGTGAATATCTGGTCTATACATCGATATCCAGATCTGAAACCAGTCCGGTTTTCTTGAGTTTGCTCTTCATGAGCTCTAGTAAGGCGTCGAAGTATTATTGAAACTAATATTTTAGACACTATACTAGTTATACCGACTCCTCTGTGACTGTTACAAACGGACTTTTGTTCTTTTTCATCGACTGGGACAATCAGTGATTCAGACCAGTCAGATTGGATTACGTCCAGTTCCCAGATTCTACCTAAGATCTCAGTCAATGTAACAACTAAAACTGGACTACCGTCCTTAAAAATCTCACGGTTTAATCTATCATGGCATGCAGATCCCCGTCGCCTTGGATTGCATATAATATTTTCAACCTCATTAGGAGAGTCGGTTGACTTGCTATTTAGTACCAGTCAACAGTTATGATAAACGTATATCGTTGCACAAGTGCACGTCAACAAATATGTCAGAAATGTAGAAATAGTGACAGTGTTGGCGGTAGTAGGATAGACAATAAATAGATATAATTTGAAAAAAAATCAGTAGGTGAAATAGCAAGTATAAGATAGTTTTAAAACTTAACAGATAAGCGAAAACACTAAGCGAATGTATCTACATCACTGGGAAAAATCTGGGCCATATCACCTACATGTAATCACAAATTAATGGTCTAATAACGAACATGTTATTACCCTGACTCAGGTCTCATATGGTCGAAAAATGAAAATTTCGATATTGCGAGACAAAAGGCTAATAATAATGTTTGAGTACATTTGTATGAACCTGGACTGCATCTCTTGTTATCCTGTGCCATACGATGTGTTTACCATAAGCTATAGTGCTATATAGAGCTGAAAGTTTCCTATGAGATCAGAGGGTCGCTGTGAACATTGTGGATAGCTTGGTATTGCTTTGATAAGTATTGCTAACAGTCCATATACAAATTTGGTTGGCAGGGTGACCGATTTCATTGATACTAGTGGTTGTTTTGAAACATTCCCGAGGACTATTGTCATTGTCATATCATCATTGCTAATAATAATGAGTTTGACAGTTATGTAAGCAAGATGGGTCAAATTGGCCTGTTCATGCTATGCATAGTGATTGACGCGATCATGGATCAGAAATAATCACTACATATGTTCTGATGTATATAAATGGTGTGAATGGTCCTCAAGGGTGTCAGATACCCGTATGGTTGCGCTACGGGACTGAGCTCAACTGTTCACGTCGAAATGTTAACACGTGGGCAGTCTCCTTGGTTCGCCTGAAAACCAATGTAAAAATACCCTTGCCAATTGATGGTCAATTTGTATAATTGTGAAATAACCAACATGTTAGTCATAGTCAACGAATTACTGTCTAATGTCTATGGAATAGCTGTGGCTACGAGAGCACCTTTTGATTTACAGTGCCCTGGTATAAAACAAGCACTTTCACTAAGATACAACGCAAAGATAGTTTGATATTTAAAAAACCTTCGATTTTTTTAATTGCTAAGAGAGTTTACCTGGAAAATACTTTTACGATCTATGAGCGGTTCACCATGATAAATCTCTGGTGCTTTTGAGTTTGAAGCAAATGGTAAAATCTGGGGAGATATATCAAGGTGGGATTTTACTGAAGGCACAGATGCAACCACGCTAGATGTTTCTTGATTCTCCGAAACAGATTGTAATGATGGTGCTTTAACCTGATGATTGGTTAGTTTCTCAGCACTTGAAGACAAGTAATTACAGATGAATGATCGAATAGTTTCAACCAATAAATGAACAACTGGGGAGCCAAGTGAAGACGAGACTGTCAGCTGCAATTGTTTTTCGAGCTCATTCAAAATATCATACTTAAGCCAAGGTGCATGCAATCTGAAAACACAGATGATAACATCATGGTACGAACTCATATTTCAGTGGATTGATCGAAGGATAGCCTGGAACTTGCTGAAATTTCAGGATTATTTGTTCTTTGTTAGCTGCATCATCAATTTTTGAATGGATTCTGATCTCGTAGACTCTATTACCTAATATAGTTAACAACAACTTTACCTGTTCTCAGGTTCCAAGATGAAAAACTCTTCTTCGTATATTGCAGAAAGAACCTCAAGTTCTTCTACTGCCTCTGTGGAATCATAGAACGGATCACTCGGAGAATTCATTCATACGAATCTCTTCACTTCTACTAAATTAATAACATTATATAAATGAGTGGTTATGAATTGTTGAGAATAGAAGTAGACTAGTATGCTTACTTTTCGCACACAACATCAAAATCTCCGTGCGAAATATCCAATCACACGATCCAACTAGATGATCAAGTCGCAGGTAAATACATATTGCACTTTAACCAAGTCGATATTGAAAGAAAAGAAAAACCGTTTAACTGACTGAATTATGTCTTCAACAGGTTAAGTTGTGGGTCATACACGAAATACTTGATCAACTTATTACCGAATCTTTACTGTACGCTGACGATGTGATGTAAAGTGACATAGTGCTTAGGAACGTAAGCTCCAATCTGAACTAAGCGTCCTGATGAACTGATCTCTGACATAGCAAGTCACCATGAATAAAGCTGCGTTGCGATCAATACTGGAGACATAGATAACACTACCAAATCGTACAAAGTCCGTGCCACTGATAACAGATCATAAAGACCATTGGACCAAAGTAAGCAATGATCTGAAGACTTCGGCTAACTGCTGTTCGGTTGCAGCGAAAGTTATCGGAGAAGTGGGAGGATTAATGTTAGAAAACAACCACCAAAAAAAGTATATGCATCTCAAACTAGTTAGTTAGAGAGAAGGCCAGAGATATTTCGGGATATTTTTCCCTTTTAACCGCATTATATATATATATATATATAGATATATATATATATATAGATATAGATATTCAGTCATTTTACAAGTTGCGTTGTAAACGACGCTGAACTGACTAGTTGTCATCCAAATATCAATTCTAATGAACACAAATTCGTTTTTAAAGCGCCCCTTGTATAGAAATGTAACTTGCGTCCTATGGTCAGTTCGCTTCAAATCTGAAGGTAAATTGTGACATAGGTGGAGTCTACGGAGCAGTGTATAAAAAATGTTGGAGCGAGAAGAATGATGAATTAATAAGAAGACTCAAAATGCACTTACAGCTAATAAAGAAATCAATCGAAAACTGTTTAAAATAACGCGATTCAAATGTTCGCATTCTGATAGCCAAAACTAGAAGCTTATTTTTTAATGCTTTAGATGAGATAGTGAAATGTAATTTCAGCCTTTGGAGAGATTTTGTTTAGCCTAAAGGTACCCTATATGCTAGGTGAGTGTGAGGTACAGTATGTGAGATCATCTAGAAGACAAAAGCGAACTAAAGACTCAGTAAACACAGGAAAAACTAACTTTTAATCGATAATCAATTGTCAAACATGAAGATAAGACAAGAATGAGAATAAGGTAGATAACCCAGACTACAAGTTGGAAG